TAGAAGCAGCTACTGCTGCTGCTGATTCAGTTGCCCCCAAGACTTGCTGCTGGTTTGCTGTGGTAGCGCCTCCACTGACACAGCCTATGCTGAACTATGTGCACTCCACTCTCACCCTAGTATGGTAGACCTTTCTTGCTGACCTTCCAAGTTTTTTTATGCTGGAAAATTGTCTCATCCCACCTTTTGTGGGTTATAACTCTACAGAATTAGTTTTGAGGCATTCTTTAAAGTTTGCAGGGGAATTTGGGAAAGCTCAGTGGAATCCCTGACATTTTGGCTCTCCCCTCCCCCACTCCTGATTTCTAAAGTTTGTTGCTAAATTCTGGTTATGTTTTGAAGCAAGGTCTAGTTAGATAAATATGTACCTTCCCCCTAAATTTCAAGGTTGTTGGTAAGATTAATTAACAGAAAATACGTAAAGAACTTTCAGAACCTTAAAAGCCTGTTTAAATGTTATATACAATTTATGAATATAATGGAATACTACCATGTTGTTTTTATTGTTCAGTCATTCCAATTTTGTCCAACTCTTCATGACCCCATTTGGGGTTTATTTGGCAAAGATACTGGAGTGGTTTGCCATTTCCTTCTCCAGCTCATTTTACAGATGAGGAACTGGTGTGAAGGAATGTTAAGGGGGCCCCTAAACTTGTCATTTGAATTGCCATATTTTCCAGAAACACTGGACCCAGAGTATGCAGGAGGCCCTGAATTTTGGAGGTCCATGAATTGTTTTTTTAACAGTTAGTGTGAGAGGCAGAATTTTAAATTACTTCAGTTATTCCAGGTTCAATTTTTCCTTTAGACTAAGGGTTCTTATTCAGGGCCCTGGAGAAGGAATCTTGTATACATTTTAGAGGTCCATGAATTTTTTTTATGTTAATAACATTATTTTTATGTGTCTAGTTTCTTACATAATCCTTTGCATTTTATGCATTTAAAAAACATTTTTCTGACAAGGGTTTAGGTTTCACTGGACTGCTATGGTGTCCATGACCAAAAAGAGATTAAGAAGGAACCCTAAATGGTGTGGCCACGTTATGCTCTTCATAATAGTCTTCGGTGGCCCCCATGTCTTTACTCCCTTACCCTCACCCCTTTCCATTTTTTTGCCTTCTCCCATTAGAATGTAAGTTCTTGAGGAGAACCATCTTCCTTCTGTTTGTATTTGTATCGCCAATACTTTGCATATTGTCTGGCATGTAGTAAGTGCATAATATCTGCCTTCCCTGGATTCCTTGAACTGTCAGTAAAAGTCCTGCTTTCTGCAAGAATCTTTTCCCACTCCTCCTTAATTTTAGTACCTTTGCTCTGAGATTATCTCCAATTTATCCCATCTGTATCTTGTTTGTAATGTAGTCATTTACATGTTATCTCCCTCATTAAACTGTGAACTCCTTGAGAACAGTAATTGTCTTGTAACTTTCTTTATATGCTCTCTACTTGACACATTTACTGGCACATAGTTGTTGGCACTTGATATATGCTTGTTGACTTGAAATATATTATAGATTACCTAATTTGTGTTGCTGGAGAGAGAGAGTATGTGTGGGATTTAATTATGGATCTCATTAGAAGGGACCTTAGAGGCCATCTTGTCAGCTGCACTCATTTTATAGATAAGGGCACTAAAACCAGGGAAGAATGTGATTGCTACAGTAGAGTGTTGTGTACATAGTCACATGTGGTCATTGTATCAATTATTCTCTCTGTTTTGTTCTTCTGGGAATTCTCCCAGAGATGACTATGATGTAATTACAAAAGGCATAAATCAAGTGATTTCTTAAAGCCTCAGTAAAACTTTATTTTAAAAAGAATATTTGTGAACTTTTTTCAACGTTTATCAAAATCTGCCATAAAATCATCTATGTCTTTAGGATGATTAATCTTAACTTAGATTAAGGTACTAAATTTGTAAATAAAAATGTTATACAAATAAACCCATTTTCTAACAATACTTGAGCAAAACCAGGTGAAAAGGAAGAATGAGAATGGCATCAGTTATAAGGCCTTTTATAAATTTTTCATAAATTTTTGAAACATTCCAAGTTTAACTAGGTGGCACAGTGGATAGAGTGCTAGGCCTTGCATCAAGAAGACCTGATTTTACACCTTTATTAGCTAGCTGTGTAACCCTGGGCATGTCACTTAATTTCTTTATGCCTCAGTTTCCTCAACTGTAAAATTATAATCATAATAGTGTCTACTTCATAGGGTGGTTATGAAGATCAAAGAGATGATATATATATAAATTTATTCCTTCCACCCCATTTAAAATTACATGATTATTCTGTAGTGCCATAAATAGTTTCCTCTTTTGATATTTTCATTGGTAGATTTGTACATGTAACAAAACAATCATAAAAGATGTTTCCAGGGCAGCTATAACAGTTTAAACACGCTCTGAGGATTTTTGTTTGTGTTCTGAAAACAAAATCTTGACCAGTTGAACATCAGCTGCCAGCCTATGTGCCTACCCTGTACAAAGTCTTTATGAGAGGTATTTCTCCATCAACTGAAGATATTTGCAAGAAGAGCATTAGCAGGGAACAAGCAGATTTTTGCAAGTGATAATCCGCAGTAGGACCACATGTTTACAATTATATCTGACTGAAAGGGTAAAGAATATAAGATCTCAATGTGCTTTTGCTTTTTTTTTTTAAATGCAAAAAAGCGTTTGCTGATGCCACCTTACTGGCCCTTTTACAACAAGGTCTGTCATATCCATACATTAATATCATCATTCAGGATTCCTTGGAAAATGGAGCAACAGAAATAACCTTCTTCACTGACTGCCTGACATTTAAAATTGGGCAAGGCATAAAACAGGGAGATACATACTAGCCAAGATACCACTATGATGGAGGAGATTCAGCTCTTAATTCAGGTCGAAGAGGTATTGATCTTCTGTGGGTGGTAAGGTCTTCCAGATGTAAATTATATTATTCCCCTAAAGTATGGCAGAATCTCCTAGAAGAGACCTGTAATCAGTAAAGGAGTTTGGCTACTCCATCCTCATGGGAAAGGAGAAATATTTGAGGAATGTCTGTTGTCTAGGTTTCAACATATATTTGAAAGGAGACTGTTATAGAATTTGTCCGGTTCTATGTATGTCTGTGTCAGACGGTACAGATGAGCTGGACCCAGCATGCTAGATTGCTTTGGGGGATCACAAAGTCCCAAGTTTCCACAGAAAGTGAAGGCCCATATTATTAATAATAACATTTTACTAGTTTTCTTTCATCAGTGAGACTTTGAACACCACTATCTTCAAAGAACTGAAGGTAAATATCGCATAGAGGGCTAAAGAAAGGCAAATGGTGGGTGTAAATAGACTGTCATATAATCCATGAGAAGCTTCAAAGACATATAGGACATCATCAAGGAATTTTATGAGACAGAGAAAAATGGCTTGGTCACATGATGAGGGAGACATGACAAGTAAATAACTAGAGTGTTTCCCTGGTACTCTTGTTGGGAGATATTGAATATGAATATGACAACAAAAACAGTTATTAATAAGCTCCTACCATGTGCCAGGCATTGTGCTAAGTAATTGGGATACAAATAAAGGGCAAAAGCACAGTCCCTGCTCAGGTTGCTCCTTTTCTAAAGAAATAACACACACACACACACACACGTAAATATGTGTATGTATACATATATAAAGAAATGATTATACTTTTTCCAGTATCAATGCAAGGTAATCTCTGGGGGAAGGTGCTAGTAGTGGGAGGTTTGGGAGGGAAGTGGGGATGAGCTGTCATAGAAAGTAGAATTTGAGGTGAGGGCTTGTTTTGTTTTTTTTGGGGGGGTGAGGTAATTGGGGTTAAGTGACTTGCCCAGGGTCACACAGGTAGTGAGTATCATGTGTCTGAGGCCAGATTTGAACTCAGGTCCTCCTGACTGTAGGGCTGGTGCTCTATCCACTGTGCCACCTAGCTGCCCCTTTGAGGTGAATTTTGAAAGAAGGCATCAAAGCCAGAAGGTAAAGAAGGAGCGTATTCCAGTCCTGAGGGACAGTCAATCAAAAAGCACAGTTGGGAGATAGACTATTGAGTATTGCAGCAATTAGACTAGTATAGTTGGATTGTAAAGCATATGGAGAGGAGTAAATTGGAGAGGTAGAAAAGGGATTGGTTATATAGCTTTCAAATGCTGAACAGAGTACTTGAAGTCTCTTTTTTTATATTGCAACAATATTTCATTATATTGATATACCTTACTTTGTCTAGAGCCATTTCCTAACCAGTAGTCCACAGTTTTTTCCTACTGTAAAAAAAGTCCTGCTATTTATATTTTGATTTATGTGGGGCATTTCTTTGTGTCTTTGACCTTCTTAGGAAATATTCCCGGTAGTAGGATCTCTGGGTCATAGAATATAAACAATATTAAAATTTTTGTAAGTATAATTGTTAATCAGAATTGACAGCTCTACCAGAAGCATATTAGTGTATATGTCTTCTCATAGCTCCTCCAACACTATTTTCATTCATTATTATCTGTGCCAATTTGATCAGTATGAATTGAAGCTTGAGTTATTATAATTTGCATGTTTCATTATCAGTGACTGAGTATTTTTTCATCTTCTAGGTAATAGTTTTCACTTTTGAAAATGGACCATGCTCTTTGAACACATATATTGAAGAATGGGGTTTTTCTTTAATATCATACTTTTGTCAAGAAATTTTTGATGCAAAGATTTTTCTCCCTACTATGTCTTTTCTTCCTGATTTCTAACTACTTTAATTTTGTTCATCCAAAAACCAAAACCTTTTTAAATGTAGCTTATCCAAATTTGATTACTAAAAATGCAGTCTAGTTTTGAGAAGTTTATCATGTCATATTACTTTGGAGTATTCATTTTTCTTTCCCAGTTTTGTAGATAGAATTAGCATGAAAATAACCTCCAATCTTAACAGAAAGTACAAAATGTCCAGGTTAGAATTTCAGTGTATTATGATGGCATAATTTTTTTTCTTTCATTATTTTTCTAGAAACACGATCAGGGACAAGTTTTGTTGGATACAGTCTTCAAACATCTTGATTTAACTGAGAGAGATTATTTTGGTTTACAATTGGCTGACGATTCTACAGACAACCCAGTAAGTCTAATTTGTTACAGTATTCTGAAACTTTTTATTCTATTGGGCTTCCTTTTTATTTGTAAAAATTGTATGTCTTAGTAGTCTTAATATTGTTTGATAATTTAACATTCACTTTCTTAACCTTTCCTTTATACTTCTCCCTATTTGTTAGCCTAATTTCTTTTTTGTTTTGACCCTAAAGCATAATTAATTATTTTCTTGCAGGTTTTAATCTTCTAATCATTAAATCTACTCTTTTCCAACCTTCATTGCACAGGAAACTAAAATATAGCAAGTTTGATTTCTTCTTATTGACACACAGAAAATGAGCTATGAAGCAATGGTCACCAATTCTGTTTAAAAATTTTTTAAACAAAATAGTTTTTAATATCACTTTTATGGCAGGGTAGATATATCAAAATAAATTTTAGTTGTTTGAACCTAAATTCAACAAATGAAAAGATTTACAAGTAATGATTGTATGTCCTTCAGTAAGTTACTTAGCCTGTATCAGCCTTCAGCCTTTCCTTATCTGTAACATGAGGGACTTAGACTAAATGATCTTTCTAGTTCTTTAGTTGGCAAATGAGGTTTTCTAAATTTCAAAGGGACACCAGACTTGATAATGACTTTTGAGAAGTTTTGTGTTATTTATTTTGTTGTTTGTACAATGATTCTTGTGCGTGTGTGTGTGTGTGTGTGTGTGTGTGTGTGTGTGTGTGTGTGTAAATTGGGGTTAAGTGACTTGCCCAGGGTCACACAGCTAGTAAGTGGCATGTGTCTGAGGCCGCATTTGAACTCAGGTCCTCCTGACTCCAAGGCCAGAGCTGTATCCACTGCATCACCTAACCGTCCATGAACAATGATTCTTAAAAATCAAGAATTATAATTTCTGAGAGTGGGATTTCATCAAAGTTTGTAAGTCATAATAGGAAAATCTTAGAATAATAAAACTAAAACTGGGACAAAGTACAAAGTTGAAAGAGTGGGAAATAAGAATTCTTAAAGACCCTGATTTATTTTCCCAGTACAGTACCCTCGTTTTCTCTGACTTATGATTGAAAGTAAAATTTTAGGTTGTTATAAAGGAGTACTGGCTTAATCAACAAGTCATTATTTGTAGAATTTAACTTAAAGGGTATTATAAATTGAAAACAAAAATAGATTCATAAAGAGTTTATATGGATTCTTGTATTTGTGTTGTTTTATTAAAGGATTTATTTGTAACCTTTTGAGGTTAATTGGCAGTTTCATCAGCTCTGATAGGTGTTTAACATCTCCATGCAAAGATCTCACAGAGTTATTTATGCTGCCCTGTTCTCTCTTCTGCCCTTCAGGCCTACATCATCAGTTTCCCATTGAAATTTGAAATAACATGTCCCAAAGACACCTGAAACTCAAGATGTCCAAAACTGAACTCATTATCGTTCGCCTTAAACACACCCCCTCTCTCATACTTTTCTATACCTGTCAAAGACATCATCATCCTTCAGCTCTTAGAGGTTTATAATTTTGGCATTATCCTAGACTCTTTGCTCTTGTTCTCTCCATCAAGTTCCTCTGCTATATTTCTCCCATCTGTATGACTGTGGGATGGCATTTGCCATCCCAGGTACCTGGAATTCTTTCATTCCTTACTTCAGCCTCAGAGTTCTTTTTGTTTCAAGACAACTTGAGCATTATCTTCTACATAAAGCTTTTATCCCCTCAATTACTAATGTCCTCTGCTTCAAAGGTTTATTTATGTTGTGTATGTGTTTACATATTAGCATACATAAAATATGTATAAATGTATGTATTAACTTTGTGTTTCTGCCACATATTTTTATAAATACACATTTTATTCCATTACAATGTAAGACATTTTTGAGAATTGTTTCTTTTTTTTTGTATTTGTGACCCCAATGCTTGTAACAATTCTTAGTAAATAGTAAGTGCTAAGTAAATAGTTATTCATTGATTAATGTAATGAATGTACCATATTTGTTTTTTGTGGGGTAACCACATTCCTTCCCAAAGTGTTCTCTGATGCCTCATTATTGTTCTGTGTGAACAACTTCTTGACCATGTATAGAATGGCTTATGTTGTTATATTTATTAAAGTTTCACAACAAAATTATTGGTTAATATGCTCTGAATGGCACATGGGTCTATCCTTTAAAACCTGTATTATGGTTCCTAAGTGATAGTGTATGTTTACTTTTATTTATTAGTGTTATGTAATTAGCAATATATCTTATGTTGTAAAGTATTTTAATGAGTGATTTTCTAGTAAATTTCTAATGATGAAAAAACATACCAAAATTTCTGGGATGCATCTGAAACAGTCCTCAGGGGAAAAAAATCATACCTTTACAAACATCCATTAATGAAATAGAAAAAGCAAAGATTAATGAATTGAATATTCATTAAAAAATTGGAATCCTAACAAATAAACCTAAAATAATCATAAAAGAGGAGATATTAATTAGAGGGGAAATAAATAAAAAATAAAACAGATTAGTAAGCTAAGACTTAGTGATTTGCCTATACTTGATAGAGCTCTTAAGTGTTAAGTAGGGTTTAGGCCTAGCTTTTCTTGAGTCCAAGTCTTGCCCTCTGTTGGCCAACTTTCTGTGATTTGAATTTAAATAAATGAGAAAAAGATTATTTTGATAGAAATATTTTGTGTAGAATTGAGAAATTGAGAGGCTGAAAAGGAGAGGTTTCTTTGACATTTATTAGGTTTTGTTAGATGTCCCCACTAAGTAGCCACTGAAATAAGTAATCATCATAACCTTAAAATACAGCTCAGAGATTAAATGAATATTGTGTTGGGAACACAGATCAGTGTGTAATAATTCTTGTTTACCATTCTTCTCACTTTAGGTTATTGTGCTCTTGTTGAGTACTAGGCAAGGAAGCTGGATACTATAGTGTTATTACCATAATTCAGTTGGTCCAGCCCCTTATCCTAGAAGAAGCTTGATTGAAATCATCACAACAATACCAGAAAGGAAAGGAAAAAACATCTTCCTTACCATTATAGTTATTTTCATGTTAGTGGGCTGTTTAGTTGTATTTGAAATGATTAATCATAGAAGATTCTAGTTTCTAAAAATTCAATTTCTTTCCCATTTGATAATTCCTTATAGTTCAAAATTCTCCCATTAAATTTATATGTGGTGAGATATCAAGCTTTTTACAGTACTCATTATTTCATTTGTATAGGAAACTCCCACTAAAGAAATTCCTTCTGTTAATGCAGATCAGCACCTGCTTTGCAGTTTATATATATATAGTCTTAGGGATTTGCCAGGGGCCCTGAGGTTAAATAACTTATTCAGGGTCCCATAAAAGTGTCAGGAGTCCCAAATTTTACTGACTCTGAATCTAGCTCTTTACTCATTATACCATAGTATATCTCATTATATACTAATAAAATTAGGCTTAATTAGAGGGAAGAGAAGATTTTAATTAAAATTTGATTTGACCTTTTTCCTTTTTCTAGAGACTCTGTATGGGGCACTTTCCAAAAGCATGGGGCACTGCTCACATTGGAACAGTTTTTGTACAGGAAACTTAGTATTGTTCTGGAAAGAGAAAGGCTTCCTAACCAGATAACCCTCTCATCCTAAATGCAACATTTTAACTGAAGGTATCATTATAGAAATAATCAAGAAAATGAATGAAGTTTTATTGCAGTATTACTTTGTGCCATATACTGTGCTAAGGACTGGGCATACAAATACAAAGAATTAAATAATCCCTACTCCTACGTAGTTTGAATTTTAATGGAGGAAACAACACATAAATATGTACACAATAAATATAAGTAGAATAAATACAAAGGAGTTTGGAATGGAGGGTGCTTGCAGTTGGGGGTGGGTGGGAGGTGATGAGGAAAGTCATCTGAAAGAATCTTATTTAAGCTGCGTCTTGATGGAGAAGGATTCTGTGATATGTGGAGGTGAGGAAGGAGTGTATTCCAGGCATGTGGGATAGATGGATGGATGGATGGATGGATGGCCAGTGCAAAAGCTCAAAGGTGGGGAAAAAAATAGAAAAAGAACTTGAGTTTTACATAAAGTTGCTATTATTTTATCATGCTCTAGCCATAGCTGTCCATGATACCATTTATACTGGCTGAAAACACTATACAACTCATTAGCTTTCCAGTCCTGATGCCGTATTATCCTTTCTGTATGAACTTCGTGTTCATTTTTATCCATTCCTCAGCTGTTTTTATTTTTTCCCTTAATTTCCTCCAAGAGAGTGCAGAACCACCATGTATCTAGTGACTAAACTATTTGAGAGGCAGACGATATTTAATTTTAAGTACATACTCTCTTATATCACTTAAAAGATGAGTTATTATTGCTGTCCTACACTAAGCACTTCATTTTATTTATTACACTTGGAGATATCAGAGTACAATTAGTCTTGGCCACTTAGAAGGATTTACCTAATGATAGTATGAGGCTAGTGAAGTTTTCTTCTCTATCAAACCAGTCTTATAGTATAATCTTTTTTTAAAAAAACTATTCATTGCTAGTTCAGTCCTCCAGACTAGAAATGTAAAACCTCATTTTACAGAAGAAGAAAATGAATCCTAGAGAATTAAAAGACTGCTCAAGGACTCTCAGAGGCAGACCTAGGATTAAAAACCAGGTTTTTTGTCTCCTAGCCTAGTGTTCTTTTCATTTCATTCCAGTAAGACTAAAATATTTCAAAGAATTTGGATTTTGATGGAACCAAATAGTACTTAGGGGAACCAAGTCTATGTGTAAGGAAGAATCTGTGTTTGTATTAGTTAGAAGAAAAAGTGAAGAGGATTTTCTTTAATTTAATTCCATTAATGGAGGATAGTATTGTTTATTAAAACAATGAAGAACTATCTGTAAGATTTTGCCATTGTCTTCAGATATGCAGGAACTTTAAAAAAATGAAATATTAATAGGAGAGGAAAATACTATGAAATTGTGAAACCATGTAAAACTCATGTTTTAATTTACGTAGTGCTTTTTGGTTGCAAAGTA